GGGGAGGATTGGGGAGATGGATAGGAGGGGGAGGGAGGAGGGGGTGGGGGTGGATTGGGATTGGGATGGTGGGTTGGATGGGGGTGGGGATGGGGATGGTGATGGTGGGGGTGGAGGTGAAGTTGAGGGAGGAGAAGCTGAGGGAGAGGTAGCTGATACTGGTGCTGTTGTTGTTCAAGAAGTAGAATAAACCTAAAGTTCCTCCACCTCACCACCCCTTCCCCTCCCCTCTCTCTCCAAATCCTCAAGGAGCAGCTTCGCTACTATCCCATGTCCCCCCGGCCTCAAATGAAAAACTCTCTTATAACTATCCGGCAACAACCAATGAATCCCATCACCCAACCAGCCTTCTCCCTCTACCTCCTTCCTCTTCCTCTTCCCCTTCCCAACCTTCTCCTTATCCAAAAACCCCTTCCGCGGATCAACCTCCCACCCCGGATGTTCCCCCACCGTCCTCCCAACATCCCTCGCAATCCCCGCCTCGAAACTCCCCCTCGGCACATCACCACCCGTCCTATTCTGCAACGCAGTCCTATTCTCCCCCGTATCCACAGTGTTCCACTCGTAGAAGACGAGGCCAGCGCGATTAGGTTCCGGTTCTAGGACACGGGATTCGCAGTATCGACCCCGTGCTTTGGTCACCTCCGCGTCGTAATCCACAAAACGGACGTTTGGTCCAGTGTCCCTAACGGCTTTGAGCAAGATGGCGTTGACGGCGCGGACCATGTCGTTTAGCTCCTGGCGTAGGGCGCGCGTGAGGTATTGTTTTGTCCATTCCATGTCTTTCCAGACGGCCCAGGTGATGTTGTCGCAGGTGGTGTCTGAGGCGCCGAAGAAGGAGGCGTAGCCTGTGTAGTATATCACACCGTGGTCTTGGTTCATCTTTGGTTTTGCGGCGGAGAGGAGGAGGGTGACGTTGTGGTAGAGTTCTGTTTCATTTGCTATCCGAGCTCGTGCTTCGTTAATAGCTGTTTGACATGCATCTTCGCCTGACAGATAGAACTGGTAGATACAGTTGCTTAGTATGGGTGTCAGGCCGATGTCGTTGCCGCCGGCGGAGATGGTGAGCAGGTCGAGGTTATCTTGTAAAGCTGGGATCTGGGTTTCCAAGATCTCAGTGCTGGTAGAGCCGGAGCAGGCGAGGAACTGATGGGTGCGGTTTGGGTTGGGGCCGAAAAGGGTGGTTTGTAGGATGTTTGGGTAGGAGGAAGTGTAGCGGGAGCATGACCAGTCGAGACGTGTGCCGGATCCTAGGCCCGCGGCGTAGGAGTCGCCGATTGAGGCGAAGCGTTGGATCCACGGGAACTTGTTAGCGGGGCCAAAGAGAGGGGATTGGAGTGCGTTGTTGGAGGGATTAGAGAAGGTGGTGGCTGTGAGCCAGTTGGTGAGCGTTGGAAGGAACATGGTGCCAGCACTGAGAATGTAAAGTGAAGTCAAGTAAGCATGAAAGTCCCTCCAAGGGCATAATCGACCAGCAAGTTGTGCTCCTGTGAAACAGCAAACTTGTCAAGATACCTTTCTTATCGTCGTTGCCTTGCCGCGCCTTTGGGTCACTGTAGTCACGCGCCGTAAGCCGAGCTCTTCATGCGCGAATCGAGAGCCCACGAGGTCACGATTGGACAACGAGTGGCTGGAATGGAAGTCTGTCTGAACACCATCAACTTCGTGCATTTAGTAACTTTGGGATGCAAGGCTAGACGCATCCGCTACAACGGCAAGACGTTCGACATACACGCCACAAAAGTTTGAGGTAGCACCCGTACCCGTCCGCTGCTACCTCTTGCGACCCGCTCACCAGACAACACCTCACGAGTTGAATATCCTCGAATACAACTTCTCATGTCTCCCCACCCAAAGATCCATAACCGGCACACTCTGCCCCGCATCCTCCACCGCCCTATCCCAACCCTCATCCACCAGCCCCCTAATCCTATCCTGCAGCTCCGCGCTCGCAAGAACCGCCTGCGCCTGATACGGACCCATAACGCTCGCTCTCACAGCCGCACTAACCACAGTGCGCGCATGTGAAAAGAGGAACAAGTACGCAGCCTGTTGCAGCGGAACAGCCAGGATACTCGTGATGAGACCCCAAAGCGGCGCAAGATGCACGTTGATATGCTCTGAAGTGCGCAGTGCAGCAGAAAACGCCGTGAGTGCTTTAACCGCGACTTCACTGCCCATCCCCCTATTCTCAGCATACTCCTCCACCGTCGCCTTAGGCCCGTTATACTGCGTCCTAAAACTACGATCCCAAACCGCCAGCAACGCGCGACCCTGTGCTATGCTCGCCCGTCGCGCAACAGTACACGGTGTACTCGCGTCAAAATCATTATCCAGTGTCTCGATGGCTTGCGGCGTGCGGTACCCGGCTAGCACGTAGGGCAGCGATGTGCTTGCGAGCGTTGAGAGCGATAGGCGGAGGAAGGTGTGGAACGCGGGTAACTGTGATGCCGACGGCGGCGAGGGTTTGTGGTGCGCGAGATAGGATTCTAGGCCTGAGCTGAAGGCGAAGGAACCTAGTGGGAGCGCGGAGTCGGCGAGGAGGAGGAGCGCGTGGAGGGCTGGGGGGTGTTAGGTTGGGAGTTGGGTGGGTGGGTGTAGCGATAACGGACCTGCGTCATTCGCGGGGGTTGAAGGTGTCGCTGCGACACTGTCCTGATTCAGTCTGGCTTTTGCATCGTGTAGCCGTCTTTCGAGATCGGCTATCTCGTCTTGGACGGCTTGTTGCTCCGACGGTGGTGGTGTCATCGTGTGCGTGGGAACGATGATGCGGCTAGAGTAGGGTACAACATGCGCCTCGGCGACTATGCCCAAGATGGACGGGGGTATCCATCCGGGCGCATGCAGCTTTACACATGCATCGACCTAGTCTGAAGATAGTAATGCATGATAACGTTGTTCCATTTCGTCTCGTCTCGACTCATCAATATATGTAGTCATGAGCCTCGTAGTCATTCATCCCGTAATCAAAACTCCAGAACCAGTCCATCATCAGAAGGGCATCCAAGCCGCAACCGGGTATACAGATGACAATTGCGCCTGAGAAGAAAACCGATGCTGTACACGCTAAACAAGAACAGCTGTGAGCCAGTGTCTACGCGTCTTCCTCCTTCGCGTCCTTCTTGGGGATATCGGCGAACATGAGTGCGCCGCTGCCCTTGTTCGACTCGAAGTTCTTCGCGCTCGTCTTCTTAAACAGCGTCTGCGGCTTCGACCTAGACGTGCGTTAGTCTACACTCCATTGCTAAAATATACAGTGCAAAGCGGCTTACTTCTTCATGGCGTGCTTGGTCTTGAAAGCCTGCAACTTCTGTGTAGCGGGGCTCATGATGTCGTCAGACGGCGAGACAAACTTCTGCTCCCTGGAGTATCATTAGTAATGCGCAATGGGATATGAACATGTATGAACTCACTGTGGGTTGTCTAGGCGCGACTGCAGGACTTGACGGTGATAGTCGAGGCTCTTAGAGTCCTTCTTCTCGGCGTCCTTCTCTGGTGAAGACATAGGCTTGACTTGCGCGTTAGTGTCGCGAGGGGTGAGGACGTTGGTGGCCATTGCGGTAGGGTAGTTGCGGTTAATGTAAAGGCGGAAGACTTGATCGAAAGTTTTCAGATGTGGACGTTTTCAAGGTCGTGTAGCAAGTTGCAGATGTTGTAGTTTGTGCTGAAGAGGTGCTGTCTGAAAGGATCTTGTTGCGGATTGCGGTCGTGGTTATAGTAGTCTTGTTCAAGGGTGTTTATGGTAGCCTGTCGCGTGGGGCAACGGCGAGGAACGTCATACCCTGCGCCTTCAGCCTTACATCCCTACGTTCACGGGCCCGCCCACTTAAACATCCCGGATCCGGCTCTCAGTTTGAAATGACAGCTCTCACATGATTGGCCCGCAATGAACGCTTTGCCTAGTGCACCGAGCAAAGGTACCAGCCCAGTGTGAGTCAAAGGCTATAGAATCACACCATATAACACAGATTGGACATGGTATCTTTGTTTGCATTCTTTCTCTGGGCCATCCCAGGCCTGGGCTCCGCAGAGCCAACGGAATTTATCTAAACCCATCCGCGGAAACATTGCCGACCGAGAGACCAACTCCGTGCATCTAGTAAAACATGCTAACACATGTCGTCTGAACATGCATCGCAACTATCATCGTACATTGTCTCGCGCTCTTGCGCTGCCGAACTCCAACGCCATGAATTTGGCAGAAAGCCACCCGCAAAACACCAACGTCCCAGGCACTGCTTCTTGCATGGCCTCAAAGTTCGCCTTCAACGCTATTGTAAACTGGTAGGAAAGGGTACCGAAGGAAATGCAGCTGGTGATGTACATGTGGCAAAATGCAGGGAATAAGAAAAGGGTATCCGGTTTGCAGAGCTCTCACAAATGGACGCGCATGGTATCGTTACTGCCAAAGGCCTTGCCGCAATTCGGGCACTTCCTCGCGCGGTTGGTGAGTCGATCTTGCACGCACTGGTCGCAGAACATGTGCCCACAAGTCTTGATGACCGTGTTCTTGAGCTTGCTCTTGCAGATCTGACACTGGATCAACAGCTCCATCGTCGACACTTCAGAGCTCTGGTTGGCCGTGCTCTTCTTCTTGTAGATTTGCACCTGCTTCTCCAGTCCAGTCACTTGTGCAGCAAGCTTGTCTCGCTCGGTTTCCGACTCGCGTTGGGCATGCTTTGCCGCGAGACATGTCGCGTCTTTGGCCTCGACGACCTTCTTGAGCTCCGCTATCTGGCTGACATGACCCTCGGAAGTGATGGCATTCTCGCTGACCTTTTGTTGCAGCTGGCGGTGCTGGGTAGAAAGATCGTCCATTTGCGATCGCATTTCCGCACATTGCTTCTCCAGCTTGTCGACCAGTGACCGGCTCAAGGAATCCGCCTCTTTCAGTTGCGCCACTACTTCCGTGGCTTTGGTAGCCTGGGCACGGAGGATGCGGATTTGTTGTTCGAGTTCTCCTTTGGTCTTCATGGCTGCGAAGAACTTTTGATCCGCTTTGGCCTTGTCCGCATGTGCCTTGGCAATGTTCTCTTCCCACGCAGCAATCTCGGTGATCTTCTTGCTCGCGATCGCCTGCGCCTTTTTCCATGCCGACTCCATGGACGGGAGTTCGTTGCCCAGAATCTTGCATTGGCTCTCGAGCTTGGAGATCTTGCTGCGCAGCTGCTCCGGTGTCAAGTCGTCTAAGCCAGACATTACTTGGTCTCCTGAACTCTGCTGCTCCGCAATCTGGAGTCGCAGTCGCTCGCATTCCGATTCGAGTGCAGCAATGCGGCTGTCGCATGCGCTCGCAAGCTGTTTCGCCTGCTCGATAGAATCCTTGGAATCCTTGTGGCTCGCCTCCAAGAGGTTATTCTTGGTGGCTAGTTCGTCACGGGCGTTTCGAATGCGAGCACAGTTCGCTTCCGCTTGCGAAACGTGGCTTGCACTGTCTGCCAAGCTAGCGCGGACCTCATCGTCCACCTTGATCCTGTAGGCTGTTCGCTCTGCTTGGAACTTTTGCGCTTCTTCCCGCAAGGAAATGTTGGTGGCTTCGAGATTGTTGATTCGCTTGATCACGTCTTCGTGCTGGTTCTTGATAGCTTTGAAGAGATCGGTCTTTGCATAATCATCATCCGACAGCCCGGTAAGCTTGACCTTCAATGCTGAGACTTCCTCAGTGAGCTTCTTGTTTTCCTGCTCGATCTGCTCAAGCTGCTCTTTCCTTTTGGCTGCCTCGGCTATGGCCTGGTTTTTTGCAGTTTCCAACTCTTCACTGATCGGTCCGGGTGAGGTGCCATTGGCGGCTTCTGTTCCGTTGCTGGTAGATGGAGCCTCCTCCTTTGCAGGCGCGCTTGTGCCGTGCGCCTGCTGCTCGAGTTTCTGAACTTGGGCGCTCTTCAAACGATCGAGCTTCTTCTCAGCGACCAAATAGCGATGAGTAGCCGTGTCCAACCGGTCAGATAGTTGCTCTTTCTCGGTGGTGACGCGTTGCAATCGCACAACATGATCCTTCTCCGTGACCAACAGTTCCGACAGCTTCTGTTGGAGTTTCGCAACCTCAGGACTGCTTGCAGGATATCTCGCAAAGAGGTCGGAAAGGGATGCAAGGATCTTCTCTTTGCGGTCCGAGAGGTGTTTCTTGAACGTCTGGGTGTCCTCGCACAGAAGCGCAGCGGGTACCGACTGCGAGGCATCGGAATCGCCTGATGATGCAGGTAGTTTCTCGGCGCCCAGGAGTTTGATTTCATCGATAAGCTAAGCAGCAATTAGCATCACCTCAATCAACTTCCAGGGGTATACTGACCTGATCAAACCAAGCGTCGATTGTGCGGAGGTGGTCGTCGTGGTACTTGGAGCGGCCCTCCAGCTCGTTCAGTTGTGACTCGACGGTAGCCTTCTCGCGCTTGAACTCGCGCATCTGGCGCAGAATGGCATCTTTCTGGAACGACTGTAGATTCGAGTGGTCAGCGGGTGTGTGCGCCGTGGGCGTGGGAGGAGGGCGGGAGGTGATCGGGGGGCGAACCTCGATGTCATCTTTCCACGGCAAGTCAGCGTCTGGGTGGGAGCGAGCACCGTTGACGGTCACGGCTTGCCTCTTAGCGGGAGGAGCAGCGTCGTCGGCAATGGGCCGTTTTCGGTCCTCCATCTTGACGGCGTCAAGCGATGGGGGTGCGACGGTCCTGGCTTCGAGCCTCATCGAGGAGACGCCGGCTTCGAGATAGGGCAGCGAAGACGCGCGCGCTCTCAGGTCATTAAAGGGAGATGAAGGAGCGGATGGCAGGCACGCAGGAGACGGGCGGGCGAGAGGCAGCGGCAGGCGGGCGGGTGTGTCGTGTGAGGCCGGTGGGTGAGGAGGTCGAGCGAAGAGAGTTCGTTAGCAGCCCAGGTGGACTGCCAAGAGCTAGTGTCGCGCTAGGGCGTGGTCTGTGTCTGTCGACGCGACCCTCTGCGTCGTGCACATTCCCCACCACAGCCCGCCAATGTGAGAAGGAGAGCGAGCAGCCAGAGCCTGGCGTGAACGAGTGCTGCTTAGACATGGCTGCCGACGACGCTCCCAATCAGCCGCCTGCTGCCGGTAGCGACAAAGCGCCTGCGCCTGCGCCTAAACCTGCGGCGGCGACCTTTAGTTCTTTTATTAATAGTGAGTCGTCCCATGCAACGGCGCCGACTCTGCTAAGCCATGGTCAGAGAATACAACGGGCAAAAAGTTCGCACCCAAAGCCGCACGACGACGACCGGCCGCCGCTGCTGCACCCACTCCCACACCTTCTGCGCCTGCCGAATCGCAAACTTCGCAGGCCGAACCAGAGCCCTTGAATGCGCCGGCGACTGAGCCTCCGACTACCGCCGAGCTACTTACACCAGCCGCGACCCAGGAACCTACCACAGCGACTACTCCCCAAGCTGTTCCCAGTACAGCCGAGTCTTCGAAAGCGCCTCCGCAATCGACCCCAAACCCTACCCAGCCACTTCCCACTCCGGCGCCTACGAATACAGAAACCCAAACGCAAGCCGAGAAAGAGCCTCATGTCGCTGTACAGCCCTCGACAGACCGGGGTCTCACTACTCAATACCTGGAAGATGCGGGCGATGGCGGCAGGTCACCCAAGCGGCGTCGTATAGAACCACCCGCACAGCTGGGCACCCCGGCGAGTCAAGATGTCGCTGCAAGTGGAGGAGATACTGCAGGTCCTTCACAGTCGGTACAACGAGACAATGAAGTAGCTGCACAACCACAGCCAGAGGCCGAAGCTACTCCCACT